CGTCTGGATTCACAGAATCTTGACAGAGAGGCTTACTAGCCATGTCCCAATAAGTAAGTCAACAAATAATTCCAAATTGAGGTGAAAACAAAAATTGCTAATTTTAGTTTGTCATCATTGAGCTGCGCTATAGGAAAGTATAACTGATGGTCAGGTGAAGCCTTACTCTTATTTGTATATAACTCATTTTAACACATTTCCTAATTATTTTAAACTGCAGGCTAAACATAAATACAGTGAAACAGTTTTTAACATCAACTTTAACAACACCAATTTAAATCATCTGACCAGTGATGACTAATTTAGCTACATGTCATCTTTTAACCACCAGTTGTCAATGTTGGCTTTGTAGACGACTGGCAAACCTTTTGAGGAAAACCAGGTTTGATTAGAAGAGACAGCATTTGGATGCAGCATTATTTGACACCCAGAGCCGTGACAACCCTGAGTTAAGACCAGGAGGCAGAGCATTAGTCATACACGCATATCTAAACTTGTGTTAGAGCAGTCACCCACATAGAGTCTGTATTTGTCCCAGAGCAACTAAATGAATTCAATCAAAGAAACAGAGGACTAATAAGAATAAATTATAACATTACCAAAATGTTAAATGTTAACTATTGAATATAAGGTCACTCATCTAAATCTTTATTAATCAATAAATGATCTCATAACTGACCATCAAATTGATGTATTCAATATAACTTGGTTGCAGTAAGAAGAACATGTTAATTTAAATGAATGACTCGATGGAACAAAATTTACCCAAGACTCTTTCTCTCTCCCTTTCTTTCTCCTGTCTACACCTACTCATCCACTTAAAATGAGACCAGTTGAGGAAAATGGTCGCCCACCCCGAGACTGGTTCTACTGCAGTTTGCTTCATATTAAAAAAGGGAGGTTCTTTCCCTCCACTGCCAATTGCTTGTTTATCTTGGGAAATATTTGGGTTCTTTATATAAAATTGCAAGGTCTCAACCATACGTTGCCTGCGTAGCAAAGAAAGTCCTACACACCTCTATGATCCCCAACCTCCCAATAAAAGAACAAAGCTGTAAAGTGTTTGCCACTCAGGAAGAAATGCATATGAGTAGATGAAGCAGGAAATACTCGATGTATCCATTAAAAACGATGAATGACTCCAGAATTCTAGATAAGATATTTAACAGTAGTTTATCAAATAAATCTCTCCTCATCTTAGTCCCAAACAACTTTTTATTTTCATCAGATTAACTCTAAAAGAAGCTTTCAGCCAATCAAAGAAACACCTTATTCAAGCAGTCCCCTCCAGTGCATGTTTCCTTGATCTTAATTTAAGATAGAATCAATGGTGAACACTGGCTCAGGGCATGGGAGGCACATGATTAATTTTTCATTGCAGTTCTTTTAAAGCACCAAGGACATGTGCCACATCAAATCTGCTCAACCTGCAGGACCCGGTTTAATAGCTTGCTTGAAACAAAAAGTATTTTCAGGCATGTGGTTTTAAAAGGTAAAGACGAGAATCAAGAAGGGAGGGTGCCTTGACTTCCTTTCAGCCTCACCATATTCTTTCCTTTTTTATAAGAGACCTTCGTAAGCATTCCTGGCACAGTGAGCAAACACTTAATTTGAGTTAAAGATGAGCCAGGTATGTGCTCATATCAATGCAACTTTCTCTTTCTGCCGTCCTGATTTCCAACACAGATGCTTGGCAATCCTCTACAAAAGTTATTTCACTGGCTATTCCTTGTCCCTTGTTTTGTTTCTCAACAGTAACAGGACGACAGATAAGTCACCTTAACTTAAAACAAAATCATTCAATCATGCAACAGCAAAAGGTATTAATTTCATTCATTTATGGAGAATACATATGAATATAATCCTGTATTAGTCCCACTATGGGGAATTTGAATATGTTATAAATTATCTCTATTTCATGTAAATTCCTAAAACACAATTTTTCTAATTATTACTGTGGCATCTCCTATATGAACTCTACATTGTTATTAACTATTAAATTTGGAAACATCATCATCTGCACAACAATACAGCCAGGGATGAGCAATTAAAATGAGCTAAACTTGTGGTTTCAGAAGAACATTTTCTATGAATTAGAGCAGCTACTGTGCAGCCAACAGCAGGTTTAGCCTTTTCTCGCAAGTCTGAGTTGTTCTTGAATCCTTGATCTAATCTGCTACTGACGACCATACACAGAGAGTTTATACAACTGCACGACCACTGCCCAACATCTCAGAGCTGACCAGCATGTTAACATGGAGATCAGCATCATCTGTCCAGTCCACGCAGATGTTGATCATCCCCCCGTGGTCTGGAGATTGCTGCATTTCAACTCACAGAGCACACAACTTGACACATAGACTGTCATGGTCTCAGCAGCATTCCTCTGAGCTGCAGAGTTTGTCAATGGTAGTGCAGAGAAGACTGAAGTCGACTTTCACACTAACACGGCAGGAGTCATTGATGGATTGCTACAACATGGCCCCCGACTAGTGACGTGAATCAGACCAATCTGAAGAGAATGATGCAGTCGTCGTAGTGGTCAACAGGCAGCTGCAACACATTGCAAAAGATGTGTCTGGTCTATCTGGAGAGTTCAGATGGAACTGCAGGCATCTTGTTACCTATATGCGTGCTGCTCTTATTTCCCTCAATCTTGCTTAAGGAGGTGAAGAGAGCGTATGAGACTTAGCAATGTTGCACACTTACACGCTGCTCAGACTGGATTAGAACCAATTCACACAGTCCTCTTTTTCTCCCCTCAATCTCTACTGGGAGAGGGGAAAGTGCCAGAGAGATTTCATGGCTGAGACAGAGGAGTTACAGTTGTGTGTTCCCTATGGACAATCTTAACTAATACTCGCCTTCCAGCACACCTGAGAGCACTCTAACCCACTGACGCACGCTGACAGCGTGAAAATGGGAATCTGCCAGCAAAGCAGAGAGCCCACCATCGGCTCACCAGGCTAAATTCTTTCCCTGCTTTTTCCTCTTTCAGTGGAGCCTTCAAGAATGACATCCCCGAACTACCACTATGTTAACCATACCTCATATTGCAGGATTGACACAGAGGTTCCAAAGGCCAGGTCAGATGCTTCAGTGTGCACTTGAGTTTTAGAAACTTCTTGACAAACTGGGTCCCTAGCACCTTTTGACATGGTTTGCAGAACGTCTGAAAGTAGGCCTTCACATCTCGGATGAGCAGTCATGATTACAAGCTGGGGTAATGCTGTCATATTCCATTTACTGAACACAATGTGACCATTGCTGCTGATCGAGACCTACTCCATCCATGTTCATAAAGGCCAAGCCGAAAACCCACTCTTCCCACAGAAATAACCAAGCACAAAAGAACCGTTTGACAAAGAAGGAGAAAATGCAATCGATACAAAACGTCTCTATGAAATGCTTCAAAGTCTGAGAGCATGGACAGAGCAAAAGCCAGGTCACAGTGTGCTGCTTTACCTTGTGTGTGTTCCAGTTAAGCTTCACAGTCCTCTTAATCCTTTCAAAGCTCTCAAAAGGCAATGAAATACCATTTAAAGTGATAATTCAACATTTGCTAAAACCAATAGCAGAGCGGTCCTTGTTTTTCCACCTTAAAAAAATATCAGACACTGAAAAAAAAAGTAATCTAGGCGCCACATTCATTTGCCAACACTGTACCAGTTGCTTATAAAGTTTTGCCACTACAACAAGAAATCATTTAAAATATCTTTGGTTATCTGGTGAAGTGAAAAGATGAGAAAATGATGTTGTAATATGCAAGTTCAAACATCAAGCCTTAGACTGGGTCCCAGCCTTCAACACTTGGAACGGACCTAGCTGCTTGGATACTATCGAATTTTGATACCTAAGAAGTAAATCTTATCAGTAACAGTGAGCCAATAAGAATACAACAAGCTTGAATCATGATCTATTGCTGCTAATGAATGGCTGTCCAATGATCTTACTGACGTGTCATAGAAGCACACAGGAAATAAGACATACACCCAGAGACAGGGCTCATATGAGTTGTATTTGAGAGGCTTAACAACAATGTGTGACAAAGATACAAAGGCATGGATCCACTTTGTCGGCTTCAATGCACAATGTAACATATGCAAAAAGGACATTGCTGCCTTGAACGGTAAAATGTAAAGTTTGATGAAACTTGAGAGTCGCTCTGTGTTAGAAGAAGCACAGCCATCTTCCTCTCAACAGTCAAGTCCACTTAATGTTAGAGAACCTCCTTCACTGGGAGCTTAGAAGTTAATGTTTAGCAAAAAAAATTCCAGCCAGCTTTCACATTCAGTTTTTTAATCAAATGTAACTTTACTATGAGGTGCAGTGACTTAACTGTTTGACAGTGACTGATCAACTGGAACTGACTGAGATTAGAGTCAGGTGACTTCAAACATCAAAAATTTGACTGGTGTGCAATTGTCGCAAATTGTTGAATGATATCCAGCATTATTTTTGTCAAGAATACTTTTACTAAATTAAGATGTCAATATATCTGTTCAAGGCAGAAAACAATATGAGATCGTTCTCCCACCGTTTACAGCTGTATGCTCAGGGGTTATGGTGGAGTGTCCACTATTCCTAAATGCACTGTGTTTGATAAACAGATTAAATTGCAGATTATAAGCGTTTGTGTAAAAGCTATCTCTTTGTTGATATGCTAATTGGTGTTACACTGCAATCTCTTTCAAAAGAAACTGCAAAAACCAACAAAAAGCCTTCCAGTTCTGTATAATTTCAAAATCCTTCATTTGAAAGTGCTGCCATTAACATGCAAGAATTGTGCTGACAATTTATAGCCTTTCCAAATTATAAACCATTAGCAATATCAGTGCTGAAAATAAAAAATCCAGGCCATAAAAATGACCTCACTAGCACACTCTGAAACTCGCTCCTTGACAATGTTCCAAAACGATATAAATGTATGTATGTGTGTAGGGGGGGAGAGACATAGAAAAAACAAGTTTTAGAAGCCAAATAAATAATGGGCTACTTACCGGAACTTTGCTCCCAGTTATCTGCATGCAGCGATCAGCGGAGAAGGTTAATGTGCAAAAAGACACAAATAGCACAATTATTAGTAGGCTGTAGAGTCCTCTCCATTACATGTTGAGGCATTGGCGTAACTTGTGTGACATCAAACATCTTTCACACAATTATAGCACAGACAATACAACAACATTTGTAAAAGCCAACCAGAGAACTTTCATAATAATGGCATCCTGAAGATTATGTCTGTGTTCGGTAGCTGCAATTTTGCAATTTTAAAATTCTTAATAAAACAGATACATGAAATGCAGATGAATAAAAACATTAAGAGAAGCAAGCTCGCGAAGCAAAAGGTATTATCAATACATGGCAACAGCATCTGTGGAAGTGATGAGTCAACATGCTAATATTTAACGATTTATTATAAGAGTAGGGTGAAATTTGATTGTGCTTGTGACTGACTGACATAGACTCAAAGATTCATCCCAGAAAAGGAACAGAGGCTTGTGTGGACAAAGAGGCCACAGAGTGTCTTCCTGGTCTGAAATCAATCAGCTGCCATTAGCACTGGGCTTCAAGTGTCAAATTTGTGTGGCAGAACTACATTGAGCACATGCAGTCAGCACGATTCTAAGAGTTTAACCTTGTTATCTGTCAACAGTGACAGGTAGCAGGAGCGTATTTTATTACTGCAACTGTGGAGCTTGTTTCACAGTTGGAGGGTGTCTGTCAGCGGAGTAAATGTATTCTAATCTGTGACTGAGCTTCTCTTTGACTGCTGCATGTTTCCAAGAAAATGCATTTGACTGCAGGAAGTTACAGAATACACTGCGTTACTAGTCTTTTACCACTTCCCAGCCCTCTTCCTTTCATTCTCTTCTAATCTCCCATTCCATTTCTTTTATTGTCAGTTTCAAACTGCAAGTCTGTGGCGATTTGATGCTTGATTTCCCCCTCACCGTCCCTTTACCAGGAGTTTATGATCACCATAAAGTCTGTTTTACGCATGCTGCCACCTGACCATGCACATACTACTTTTTAATCATACCGTCTGTCCACATATTTCTTCCTCTCCAGTGCAGCATGTCACTGTTTAAAGGTCTTTGCACGCAGTTTTTGTGTTATAATTTGCATATTGAAATTTTTGTAATAAGAACTTTGACACAGAAGTTGAATGATGAATCTTACAATGCAATTAGTGATTTTTCTGAGCATTTGTACCTCGAAGGAATGAATCAACCAGTTGCTGTACAACAGTAGGTTAGGCTATACAACAACATAGCTCAGATAGATTGTCAGTTTATAGTATCCCAGTAGGGTCTGCTGCCTCCTCAAATGTGGCTCTGGCATTCCCACCAGGACTTCAAAGTGTCCCATTGACATTAAAGTATGTCAGGAGCCGGGGCTGTGGTGGAGCTTCTGCCCATTGTATGAGACAGGGGAACTCTCCTCTTTCTCTAGCCTGTAAAATGGAAATACTTCTTTTCTCGAGTGAGAATGAAGACTAGATCATCCTCACTGCATGATACTTAAGTCAAGATTTACAAGTATTACGCATTACTGCCGGCTAGAAACTTAAAAATCAGTCACACTGTTCAATCAGAACACAGATATATTCCACAGATGCTGATGCCTGTAATTCAAATAACACATATTTGAATCTTGTTTTAGAGCAGTTGGACCAAATAACAGACAGCATTTTGAGGCTGCTCACACAGACAGGGAAGAGCTTGAGGGGAACAGCATAGTTTCATTAACAAGTTTGCATGTTGAATACAACGTAACACCTTGTCTCGAACAACTGCTAACAAATAACTATATGTATATAAATGCCGTAATGTGTCAGTGTAATTATTACTCCAGTCAGTCCGATTACTTTACCACTGTATTACTTTAAATTTGACTCATCCACAACTTAAACTTGTGGCTATATTTATTATTTCTCAGGAATAAAATAGGAGACAGTATTAGTATGATTTCGATTTTTGGGAGCTGCGACAATAATGTTTACAGCAGCACTGTCACTACAATATATAGCTCCATAATATAAACACATCTAAAATATCTAGATAATATATAAACACTGAAGCTGAATGAAGAACACAGACATCTGTCTCTATCAGAACCCTCAGCGGCAGATTCACTGCCTCCAGGTAATGTTGTTAGAGGGGGAAGCTGCTAGAAGATTACACAAATCTGATATATTTTCAGTTTCCAAAATGAAACAATATTATTTAGTATATTGTGCAAAAACATACTAGGTTGGATGGGAGCAGTTCAAACTGTTTTAAACATGGTTTTCTATACATGTGGTAAAGCATCATCTCTATTGTAAACTGGAGTGAAACATTCAGTTCACAGCGACTATATGACAGAGCTGAAGGCTACAGTCTGATCATAAAGGAAAAAATGGTAGGGAACATTCAGCATTAGTTTTTTCTGCTTTCTTCGGTTAAAGCGGTATATTATGGTATTAAAAACCCTGAGTGAATGCACGACTCGTTATTATTATTTTTTTTTTTTTCCAATTCATCGTGTCCCAGAAATTGTTATGCAAAGTGTGTATTACACATTTTAATTTCTCTATGTCAATGAAAATAATTTATCAGTCAGTGCTAATAAATAGTCAAAATGAAATTATTAACATAATGATAAAGGGCCTGGATGAACTGAGTAATGGTCAGGCCCCATTACGAGAACAAGGTGGCACATTGATGGTCACATCAAACAAAACATCATCCAAATAAAAATAACACTGGACAATCCCCTCAGCCAGACTCTGCCATCATTGTTTCTCCTGCTGCTGAGCCACAGCACATTTAAACAAGAAAATATTCACTGCCTGTAGAAAAAGTAGATGTCAGACAAATAAGCAATTGTATTAGTGTAGAAGGAATTAGGCAGTTTTAATGAGGTTGGCACACAGTTACAGACAGAAGAAAGAACGAGAAATGAGGTTAGAGAGAAAGGCAACGATTCATGCAAAGCTGATGGTCAAGGACGTCCACAGACACACTCCTGCAAAAGCGGGGCTGGATACCATTGAAACACGGCTCATATTCAGATGAATGGGGTCAATGTTGAAGTCTCCCTTGAAAAGACATTCCTGTCTGTTCTCAATCTTGCCCTGTGATAGACCAATAGAGAGGTGGCAATTCACAAGGGAGGGGAAAAAGGCTTTGACTTTCATTTGAAAGATAAATTGTTTTAAGAGTAAACAGAGTGCTAACCACCCTTTTCTCATATTCGCTATCATTCAGATATCTTTATATAAGCACAGTGCTGTAGCCTTTGTGGTATATCAACATGCATGAATGAAGAATATACACACAAAATGTTGTATATTCTGAAGGGAACAATAAGCACCTAAAGCAATTCATAATAAAATTTCCCTTAAAAAAAATGTTTTGCTTACTTTTGGTTGGGAAATAATCGGCAGAGCCAAACAAGAAAAATGGGTCACAACACTTTGTTGTTACCACAGTATTTACTGATTTAAACTTGGTCTCGCTCAGCTGTCGGCTGAGAAAGAAAGAGTTGTCTGAAGCCGACATGACTCAAGGTAAAACCCAGAGAATTGGGTCTGGAGTTTTCCCAGAGTCTGCCTTTCAAACATGCAGAACACAGCAGGGGGGGTTCTCTGCACAACAGCAACAAATGCTCCGTATTATTCAGGCGAGAGGTGGAGCAGTCAGGTGTGGCAGGCAGAGGCAGGAAGTGACGTATTAACTCTGCTGTGTAGATCACATGATTTAGATTACAGCACCCCGACACCGACGTCAGCTCTTATCATCAAATTCTCTTGACACATTCCTCTGTGTCCTCAATGTGTTTTCCTCTTTTTTTTTCATTTTTGCATCTGTCGCATGTTGGAAGTGTCATCAGCTCGCCTGCAGTGAATCCAGAGGGGCATCCCCTACTGTGTTCACACGTCGACTACTCCTGGATTTCTAAAAACTTTATTCTCAGAGGCCAGGTGGATAAAGTTAGTAGAAACTGCAGAGTGTCTCACTCGGACATTTGCGTTCACACATGCACCTTCTCCAGAGAAAATATGGAGGATCAGCGAATGTCTGAAAGCAGCTTAAGAGAGCTGGTGACATTCATGAATGTCCCGCTTGTATTTGCAATAAAATATAAGTTTTCAAAACATGTTCCTGTAAGAGTAAGATCAAAAACTATTATCTTGACAGATGTTCTACTGGGATCATCTGGAATAAAACAAAAACAAAGAGGAAATTCTTCTAAACCCCCAAAGTGCAATCTCACAATGCTGCAGACGCCTTTGGTGGAAAAAGATTGAGTCAGATCAACAGTGAGAGCACCACAGAAAAACAGAGACACACCAACTTGTCCAGGACACATCACCATTTTCATTCCCAATGCAACATATTCTCTTCGACTCCACACTGCATGCACATCAGCAACCACAAGCACCATTAGCCCCAGATAATGCTTAAAAACTGGACAACTTTTCAAAAACAAAGCAGTTACTTTCAAACATTAACACATGAAACCTGCCTTACAAAGACACACGGATCTAAAGCCTAAACCAATGTCATTCTGATTAGGGCTGCACGATATTAGGAAAACATGCGATATGCAATAACGTTGTTGAATGTTGCGATGATGATATAACTTTTGTGATAAATAAACAAATCCCTACTAGTAAGTATACAGTGTTTAAGTCCTTCCGCTTTGGGTTCACTACTAACATAGAACCCATACAGTGAGTAGCCTATGCAGACACTGGAAAAAATGAAATACACTATTTCTTATTATGTGATCATCAGTGTCATTTCAAACAATTTGGCGGAGGCGGCTCGCAAATCTCTATGCAGGAAACCCCCTGGACAGGCCCATCAATTATCTTAATATCGTTAATTTATTATCTAGAGCAGTGGGGGTGCATGGCACATGTAACACTATTTATCGCAGTTCGAGTCTTTTACAATATGTTGATGTTGATATCGCGATGACGGTAAATTTTGTATATATCGCGCAGCCCTTGTTTTATTTTTTTTTTAATGGTAAAATATAAATATTGAAAATCACTTGTTGTAGTTTGTTTTTCTAGCAACCTCCAGTCTTCAGCAGAGTCTTAGATAGACATGGTTACACCAATAGTAAGAACCAGACAGATTCATCTGTTGGTCAATCATATTTGCTACTATGAGCCTTTCAGACGTTTCAGTATTATTGGTACATATCAGTGCTTGCGTTTGCCAATATGAACACTTTTGTACAGAATAAAAAATAAAGAGGTGTCTCAATGTAAACAAATGTCACAGGATATGTACATTTTCTTTATTAATTTCAAGTTTTACGTATTTGATATTTTTATTTATAGTTATTTGTAATAAAGTTTGTCTAAAATATCAAGCCTAATTACATACCTATATCATAGGTGTTTGATAATTAGGAATAATTGACAATTTTTTCTTTTTAAAATATATCGGCTGATATATTTTTTATTCCCCCATATTTGTATCAAAGTCTAGGCTCAGTCATCTTGATGTATTATCAGTATGTAACATAGTGTGTTGATGTACAAGTGTTGTAGTGTAACTGTATGTGTGTGCACATGCTTGAATCTGTGTATGCAGATACATCATCACTGACGTTCAACCGTCCCCCTCCTTCGGTCCTATTAAAAGTAATAGCAGGGAGCTGACAGTCATTGCATATTGTCCTCCTTCCTTTGACTACACAGATTACATTATTCATTTGAATAAAATATCAGCACTTGCAAAGCATAATGGGCCCTGTGAGGAATTCAATCATTTCTGATAATCATCATTATCAATAATGCCAGTTAATTACCATAACAATGAGGAAGGTAATGAATGATGATGTCAAGAGAGTACTGCCCAGTTTGAGAAGCTGTGGGGACAGATATCACTTTCTTCTTCAGTGAAGATGTGAATATTATCTGACAAGGGTGGCCATGACTAAAAAGATGATTCAAGAAATCATCATACATTCATGGATTACAGTCAAAAAGGCAAGCAGTACTTTTTATTGCGGATTTTGGATTTAAGTGATGATGTATCAAGTCCCTTTTTACACTACATGAATGGGCAGTATGATCCTAATGTGTATTGTTCTCAATATAAATGAAGTCTGTCAAAATTGTTTTAAAGAGCAGAAATAAAATTGTGTGGTGAAGGCCTCTTTAATTCAAATTAAACACAGGCTTATCATGGGCTTATGCTGAACATTGCTTAAAATCGTTGTATCGCTGGACTTCATTGAAACAAAAAACTAAGCGGACCACCACCAGGCAAAAACACTCATGCATGTTCACAAGTGGACAACCAACAATCTTCATGCGAACACACAATTGAGCAAGCAGTGACCATCCACCTAGACTTGAGCGAGTGAGTGACTACAATTTATAGCCTTTGGTTTGTGACAGAGGAGGAGAAACAATGAAGAAAAATAAAATCAAAATTGCAATCAAAGATATGGGGCTTGAGCATGAAGAGTGGAGCGTGAGACAATGACAGAAGTCAGGGTGCGCAGGTAAGGATGAAAAAGCAAGCAATACAGCACAGGATCAAGTTAAACTCTAGAGAATCGAGTGTAATGTCATGATACTTCAACACACCCACTACAATTATACAGTACACTTCAGTTAACAAGGATACAGCTCTTAAGTTAATTCTCTCACTTACAGATTTGGCAGTGGCTGAGATGTACTGGACCACCATCTCACGTTTGGTGCTTAAGTCTTTTCCACGCAGAGGCGCTTTTCGTTCCTCATTCAGGTTCATGTCCTCCTACACAAACACAGACAGTAAGAGATTTAATGCACAATAATGGTAGAAATTAGATATTTTGTAGGGGTACAGAATATCAATTATAAAACAAATAAAATGTGATCTGAAGGAAAGATGATTTGCTTTCAAATTAAAATTATACTTTATTACACAATTAACATAAAGAAGCATCAAAGGGATGAGTAAAATCTTCAACACTCGTACTGCATCTATGCTGGTGATCGCGTATAAGTTGTAACCTTACCTGATAGAGCAGATAAAATAAAAGGTTGAAACCTGAAAGTTGAACCCTTGATATTTACAGTACAATAGTTTCCCTTTAGACAAAGAAATGTTTCAGATTTTGAAATCAGATTATGTCGTTCAACAATTGAATAAATTACTTTTGCATCCATGTTTCTTTGTCAAAGTCTCAAGGTAAAGCAACAGGAAATAATGACAGTGATAATTAGTCCTTGAAATGAAAGCAGCAAGGCTACTGCAATATAAACTGTGCACCCCAAATCTGAACAACCGAACAAAATCAAACAACACTGCTTCTATTGAGGGCATGCAATCACATCAGATAGGCTGAAAAGGAGGTATCTGCATGTTATTGGGAGTATTATCTTTGTGCTACTTTAATTCAGCATCACAAAAGATGTCTTTCATGTGAGAGACATCAGGGGATGGAGCGAAGGCCGGACAGAGCACTAAAAGCTAGGGAATGACATGATGATTAGAATGGAGGGGGATGTTTATCAGAAGCACTCTCTCACAAAGAGATGGCTAGAATGAACAGAGAGAAAAAAAAATTCTCCTCAGGGTTTCAGAATGGTGAACCTTAAGTTGTGGAGCCATGCTGCCCTCTGCTGGGAGGCGGGGAAAATCATGTGTCCTCAGGTTTGGGTGATCTGATTTTGCAGCGACTACCCAACGTCCAAGTTAATGTAAAACTACAAATTCAGCGTTTCACTTCTAAGTAAGAACACTGTATTATGTAACGGCTTGAATATCTTACCACGAGTAATCTAATTCGATTTGATTGTGCTTCATTTGTCAGTGGAGCATGGGCAGGAATCCCATCCAGGGCATCGTGACCTAAATTCTTTCAACTACATTTCCTCTGGTAAATACCCTCAGAGCTTAAAAACTATTAACATCCCTTTTGTAGAACAAGAAGAAAAAAAAAACAAGGCTGAAACTTCTACAATTGGCAGGTTTTTCACCCAAGGAAACCAGCAGGCATTTTAATTAATCTTTGAACCCTGCTAATTTATCTGCTTAATTGGCATTCAATAAACGAAGCAAAATGTGTCAGGGTGAGTATGCTGTAGAGGGGTAGGAGTAGAGGGCCTGCGGGATGTTTGCCAAGGGGGCCAACTGGAGGAATGAGCCCTGCATGTTTAGTCTCTAAAATGATTAATGCTCTTTTATTAAATATACACTCTCGGGCTTCATAAAAGAGTCCCAGGATATCTTTAACTACGCTGCTGGTGTAACTGAAATGATGAGATCCGAGTTGGTATCAATGACTGTGGAATCGGCACGAAATATCCTCTTGAACATGTAGTCTCAAGTTGGGCTTCAAAACCTCAGCTAAGAATTTTCCAGCACAAAATATTCTGCACTTGTCTGTCTTATGCCAAAAATGATTTCATTCTGCATTATGAACTGAGTTTTCAGGAACGTTGTCTATCCCAGTGGACTGCTGTTACTGCATATATATACACAGCCCAGTCCCAAGTAGTAAGACAGTGACACATTATGTTCCCTCTTTGGGCTCTTTACTCCATCACACCGGATTTAAAACGAAACAATGGCTGAGGTTAATGAGCTGACTTTCAGCTTTAATGGTATTTGATGGTGTCCACATCCCCACTGGTTGAGCAGACTTACAATCAAACCAAGCGACAAGGTTTTGAAAACCAAACAGTGTCATGTTCTTGACTGGCCAAGTCAGGCACCTAAATCCAACTGAGAAGGAGTTCCGATCCTAAAAGAGCAAACTTATAAAGATGCAGTAAGTGAAGATGGCTGCACTACAGAACTGGTGCCAGGGAAGTATCTGCTGAAGATTATGAATCGTAGATTTCCAGCACTCATTATCTGAAAACAAATAACTAAATATGATACATTTTAATGACTATTAATAAAAAACATGTAAACTTAAGCTTTAAATTAGACCTATAAATTATATACACCCACATTTCAAGGACGGTGGATGAAAAATGCAACAATTCGTATGCAGTTAATTGGTGTAGAAATAAGCATCCTCAAATGAAAACTGGAATTAACCAATTCAACTTCATAGCAAATGTTTCCTCCATTGACTTCAGAAAGTTCAGAGTCAAAGCAACAAAAATGTGATACCGTCCTCCTACTTTGAGACTACCCTGTAGATAAAATATATAGCATTGGAAGAAATTTCCAAGTCCCGCAGCACGAAGAGGCTGCAAATACAGCCCCATCCAGAGAGCCACAGGCTTCAAACCAAAGAAAAGAGCAATTAATGGCCACCATCAAATGTGTCTGTAGGTGAAATAAATATGAAGAGTCCGTGCCATGGGGAAAAGCGGATCTAAGAAAAATAGAAGACATATAAAAATGTTTTGCTTCAACTGTGACAAATCGATTATTTTACCCTCGAGCCTGATCCATGAATGTGTCAGGGCACACACAGTAACTCTCTGTGGGCTGGTTTTAATGTCCTGGGGTAGGGTGTAACTGCTGAGGGATCACATAGGAGCTTATTAGTAGGAGTGACAATGGCGTATATCGAGGCACATAAAACCTCAAAATAGCTACAGCAGCACTGCAACGTGACATTCTTCTTTCACTGGTCCTCTGTCTCTGCAAGCACCTCCAATCCAAACACTACTCCTGACAATGAGAGGACATCCTTTAAAGAATGGGAAGATAGAAACACACGTGCTCTGGTATCAAATCAATCCTAATAAGGATGTCCCTGGAGGTTTTCATGCTGACGGACAAGTGCAAGTATCATCAGGGTAATAATGTCATTACGACTGCTAATGGCCAGCTCAGAGGATTTAAGTACCAATGTGCAGCATCCATTGACACAAATTCATGGCAGGAGGGGGTAGATTTTCAGAATGGCCAACCTCTCAAAACATCCACCACAGCTTTCCTATAATGACCCTTTTTCACATAATTAAGTGTTGAAGTTATGATGATACATCAGGATGTATTGTGAAGGCTTCACAGCTAACAGAATTCTGATGAAATGAGTTCACACGTTACGATGTTAAATCTCTTGGATTGGTGTCTGCTACTGCAACACAGCTGCCTCCTGAGGGAGATGCAAATACTGGACACCAGCGGATTTGGTGCTGTGCATTTTGATGAGCGGCTCTGAATTCCAGCTGCGCATGGCTTGGGAAATCCAACAACAGGACACGCAGGGTAAAAACAGACTGTACACTGAACCATTTTAAAGGCAGTGCTGAAAGTAAAGTTTTTTCTGATTCGTTTGAACTCTCCCTATAGTTGTATGAATATACTCCTGCTCTCAATGATTAGCTTCAAAAAGTCTAGTAAAGAGTTCATTTGGTTTTCCTCCCCACTGACTGAGGGATTCTTCCAGTTTCACCAAAACCCTTTGATGACCTTTCAGTAATAGGCTATGTGCTATTCAGGCTTTGAGATACACAGCGTAATGTGTAAACCACTTTCCAGAGAAAAAACGTTCTCACTTTCCTCAAGTCGTTAATGCACAGTCGGTGGTCTCACTAATATGGCATGGGTCATCCCTTCATTTGAAGCCAGCTAGACATCTAAGGCTGTAGCATGTAGCGCCATAAAAACAATCAATAACAGAATGAATGTAAGGCAAAAAAAAGGGGCAACTAAAATGTATGTGTGTATGACAGAAAAGACATTACAAAGACAGGTGCTGAAGAGGAGCTGCTAGCATGAAAAGAAACAACCACTGTCTTTTCTGTTTCTGCTGCATCAAAGCAGAAAAGTTTACCATCTATTACAGTGTAGTTTACAGTCTAAATAGTGCCGGCTTCAAAAGCACACCAGTAAATAATGCTTTTCTTTTGGATTTCATTGCTATAATTATACATCCCAACCCAAAGTGTGATGGTCTGTCAAGTGTCACACCGTGTGTTGTCTTCTGTGTCGTCTGTCACTGAGTGAGATGAAGCCTGGGTTTAATGTCACGCCACTGTGAGCACAAACATAGTAATTGAGAGGTGAACTGAGTGACAGGGATGAGCACCCAGGCAAGAAAACACTAAGCAGTAGCCTGATGAAAACCACGAGCCCTGGTCGCACTTCTCTGGCCCTGGCAAAGAAGACCATTGTATGTGAAAAAAGGAAAGGCAGGCACCACTCACACATACACACTCAGAGACATTATCCACAATAGTGCACACAACCTATGCAATGAAGCCAGAGTAATTCGGCTCCACACTTCAAAGAGATGAGCTGAAAGCTTTTTGTTAGATTTCAATCCTGCAGTACATAATGCCAAAAATGCATTTCAATGGAGAAAATCACCAGTGTGACAGAGCTTTGACCCCACAGACGAGTGTGAATTGAATTTCAAAGTTTGGCGTTTTACTGACAGGGGCCTGGGGTATATACTGTATACGTAGGTAAGCCCTGCTTCACAAAAGCTTCACACCTGAATGTAAAATGTTTCTATCAATACTATAAATACAGGTAGGGATTTTTCTTTAATTCAACCTCTAACATGGCTTTTTATTTGAAACATGCAAGTAGCATCACAATCGCCACTTAACAAGGCCTCAAATTAGATATCCTAGATAAAACTGATAACATTCATGATATTGTGTTGAAATAAAAATGTCTCCTTGCTGGAATTTCCAACACATCCAGAATCACTGACACTGTTTTGTGTTCCATATCAGTTTCAGTATCAGTAATGTTACTTACTAGATATTTGAACAATTAAATTAATATCATAAACATGCAATGATTATTTGATTCTGTCTGAGAGCAAAACTATAGTCAACTATTGCAGCTTTGTTTGAACTCACACTACTTCACCATCAACTTAATATCCTGGTTTCATATGTAGTGCTGTGAATAATTGGTAAAATATAACTTGTCAATTTACTCATAAAAGCTGGAAACCATTGATAGAATTTCATCAGGGCACATTATTTTGTTAAAAAAAAACTATTTGCATAAACATTATCATCAAATTTTTTACATGCCTGGCAAAGCTTTGCTAGCTATAAAAAAAAATCTTATCAGCAGTAAAACAAGAACACGTGAGATCTATTGGTATAAGTTCACATAAATGAACTTTGTTTGAGCTCTGTTTCTGTACTTGTACTCCTCTTTGCACAGATTTATGAATCACTTTTAAGATTTCCTAATAAAATGCTGATTATGTATTGTTCTGCAGCAGCTGTAATAAAGCTGTTGTTGAGTGCTACAGATGACCCTGTGCAAGGGAAACACCACAAAATAAATAAAAAGCTCACCATCATCTTCTCGAAGAGGTCGATGATCTCCTTTTCTGAGAGGTTCATGGAGCGGTCGTCAAAGAGCGGCTGAGGAATGGGCATTTCAGCCTGGGTAGAGAGCAGATCTGTTGAATGCTGTATAAGCAGCTTCTCCTTTTTCGTTCCCGCTTTCCTGAAACTGGTAATACGATCACGCTGAAAGAAAACAGAGTGTTTGAGATATTAAAATGTACCACTGAAAACTAAAAATCCTGTTAAGACTATGTCAAGTATAACTGCTTGTTTGTATTAACTGAAGGAAATACAGATGTTTCAAAAAAGGGATATATTGGTTTAATGTGCTTGTAACCCAAATTTCCCACATTCAAGAGTTGTTGATCAGAGGACACACACAGCTCACTGCAATACACAGTAAACAGGATCCTCTGATGGCAAGGACAGCTCAGATTGTGTTTCTATGTCAGCCAGAACCCCAGCAAGTCATTTAGGATGAAAAGGCTCTGAACTCTGAGGTTGACAGTTCTGTCTGTTGCACAGCTAAGAACATTAAACTGACCATTCAGGGTGTGGACAGAGCAAAGACCAACCACTAGATGACAGTGCAAGCATCTTATTAAGCCTAGGTGTAGTTACTTCATCTAAAGAAATAATCATAAAACACCAGAACACACAATTCAAACAAAATAATGGTATTAAATTAAAAATATGTTATGTTTGGGCTGGTGCTGTGATAACTCAGGTCTAAATGAGAGGGTTTCACTTTTTGATGAGCATTAAGATCTTTTTCAATATGTGGAAAGCCATTCTTGGTGATTGGCTAAGAAATTACATGTACATCCAATCCATCAAATGATTCTAAGGCTACTTCGTACTGGACCTTGTTGGACTGAAAAGACTTAAAACAATAAAAAAGTAAAACTATAGTACATTTATGCAGCATTTTACAATAAAATGTGGAAAATATAAAAAAGTTATTTATGAGAAAATCAAATAAATCTGGTCAGGAAAACACATTTTGTTTGCAACATATGAGTACAAAAATACCTGTTTTGACATTTAAGTGAAGTTTATGTGAAATCTTTACTTACCGTCACGAGTGATAACCTGGTTTGTGTTCATGTACATTAAACATACAATATGTTGTTGATGTAACATCAGTGAGACTCGATTTTCCTCAGATTCATCAGTTGACACTATTGTGATGATGCAGTTAAGTTTAGTGTGAAAGCAAAAAAGTACATGGACGGCATGCAACCACATGATGTTAGTCATATTTGGTTAAATGGAATAGAGAAGCCATGCTGGATGAATGAACATACAATAGTTAAATGTGGGAGAGGTATGATGATGATGACACATGATGACACGTCTGCCAGTTGGGTGAAATATTACTGGATGGATCAAATATACTCTAAAGTCAGACAAAATACATAATTCCTGATTAATAAATTAAATGTTGACATTACTTTGTATGTCCTGAAATACAGCGTCAAACTGTATTGAATCAACAATAACAAAGGGTTTTTAAAAGGCCCTGCAGATCAGCACATCTAAAAGGAGTCTGGATGCTATGATTAAAACTTTAGAGTGAGACTTTGGTGCTGATAAAAAAAAAAAAAAAACATATAATATTATATTTTAGTTTCACAAGTATTATGGAGTGATATCACACAAAGAGGTGAGATAGAATTTAAGCTTTTTCTGTTACGTAGAGTGACAAAAGGTCACATTGTATATATAAGCTGAGTTTTTCACGTTTCAGTAAAATATCAAATTAATTGTTTTGTTTTTGGCACATCGGACCCATCCACATATTTCAATTTCAAGTCCCATGCAGCCATAACAAAACAAGAGATGATGTAAAACAAAACTAGACACACCAAAATGAAACCAAGCACCTTACCATATCATCAGCCAATGTTTTTATGTGTATGTTCTGTTGGAGGGAGGGAAGAGTATGAAAAACAAGATCCAACAGAAAACGACAACACCCTAAAGAGCACAGCATGTAGCCCATCAAAATGCACCCACATGTACAGTGTCCTCTGGTTACTCTGTCTCATTAATCGGTCAGATGCCAAATTAACCTTCCAATAACAAATATATTTGTATAATCAGTGGTACATAATGGATATGTGCTTAATAAGATCCACACCAAGCAACAGCCAGTTTTCTTTATCTGCTATTTATTCTAGACACTGTACATGTGCAGGACGTAACAATAAATGATGCCCAGAATAAGAGCGTTTTATTGTATGACGCTTTAAGTGTGTGTTCAAGAGTAAACACCCCAAGAACCCACACTTTAATACACATACAAAATATTTTACATGAAATGAAATGCATTATCAATCGTCTACAACCCCACAGCCAGAGACATAACGCACACACCTGTTCAAAAGACCCACTGCAGAAATGACACACAGTTTTGTGTATGCAAAAAATCATACACCTTCACAAGGTTATTTGTTACAGGCTGCCATGACTGCCCACCAAAATATTGTTCCACCTCTGGAAGGTGCGTTTTAAAGAGCATCTCTTGAAGTGACAGTGGCCCGATCCTTGTTGCTAATTTTTATGATAAAATCCTTTCAAATTCCAAACGTTTCAATAATCTGTGTTAGCAAAACAATTCTAAGTATTCCAAAGAGCTCAAATAAAAAAAAAATTCAATCCGGAAACTTCTCTTTACTACAGATGTTCTTCTTCATCTCAGACAAAATAAGACTGGCTACTGCCAAAGGCTTGTGGCTCGGCGAGGGACAGTGATTTGAAACACACCTCAAATGGGAAGCAGTAGCAACACTGCCATATGCTGTGGCGCTAGGCTATGAAGTACTAATGAGTAGGGCGATGTGGGGTGGTGATGGCCATAAAGTCTGCCTCCAGCCGCGGATTTCTCCACTATTCTAATCAGGAAACTACTAATGCTGGGGCGAGCAAACAGACTGACTCTAACCTGTACCTCCCTCTGTGCATCTTTATCAGCCGTCGCTCTGGGCAACACTGAGCAGACACTCAAACTGCCACATCTATCACTAGTTTTGTCTGCAACAACCAATCAACAGTTGCAAGCTTGGAACCACAAAAAATAGAGCTTCAGTCGCTATGTGCAGGCTTTATGTGCTGTCCGACTATAACAAATATGTCACTTTCATTCTGTCTGTCTGGAATGACCACCTATTTATTTCATCGTCATACTGTATGTAGCCTTCAATATGTCTGCATCACGTGCATCTCTAAAGCTGAGAATTTGACCAAGCAACAACTTTTTCCCATTTTTATCTCAGATCGTATGTGTCATTAAGCCCAGCATTCTCTAGCAGTCTAAAACTGCGTGAAATAATAGCTAATTTTCAAATGGAGTGCTTAAACATTTTCTAATCAATTTAACAACAATCAAACCACTGTTTGGTTAATTGCCTTGACTTGAGGGCCTTTCCTTGCCCATTATCTTGGCAACATCGCAACAATGCAATTTAACATCCAACAATTAAGCTTGCATGTCCTCTGGGCTTCTCCCGCTTATTAAAGTAAACTTTTTCATCATAATAAATGTTTATTACCAGACACATATTCCTCTAAATAATCAAATTAGCTCTGGGTCCCTCCTTAATCAAATATGATTATGACTCCATGCAGATCTTTAAAAATGAAAACACAAAGCAATATTTCAAAACTTGAGAGTCAGTTTGGGGACACAAAACCATACCAGTATGCATTTTTACACAATAACTTAAAATTAATATCACACAGTACAACTACTTTAACTCGTGTGGAGACATAGCCTTCCACTGCTCTGTTTTATTACCAAAAGCCACCAGGTGGCATATGAAATACATTTTCATTGAAGATGGACAACAGACCAACTTAGTATCACACTGGGTACCATCGCACATGTTTTTAAATAGAAATGCCTGTTATACCCAACTAATTTAACTAGACCATCTGTATGATGTCATTTTAACTCACTCACTGGAACTATCGCTATAAAATTAGTAGTCAACATGCCTCTGTAAAACGAGTTTAAACAAAATTAGGTTTTACTTTAATTAGTTCTAATAATAACAAAGGATTACTGGGAGCCTGCCGTGGTTGGCAGTGAAGACTGTAATGCAATGTTCTGCTGATAGTACTTGGCAACTTCATCAACTAACTTGTCTTTCCAGTTAAAGCCGCTGCTCAGCTTAGCTACAGGAGAGATAAGAGTCACAAATACATTCCTGAAGGACAAAAAAATTCAAAATACTGACATAAGAGCAGTGAGAAATTTTGGAAAAAGTTCACAATATGCCAAAGTGTCTGTTGCTTATACAATTCTGAGAAAGTAAAACTGTACTACTGCACTTAAAAGGATCACACTCAACAAATAAAGGATTACAAATCAAAAATTGAAATAAAATTTTCAAGATTTCCTGAATAGGAAAATATTGTATTAGTTCTCTTATTAAATAGCACACCAGTACAGCCAAGGATGGATAATCATTTGACTTATTTACCTTTACATCTGTGTCTAATTTTTTTGATTTTTGTCCTTGAGTGGGAAACTGTGTTGATGCCTGATGTGCAATGCAAAATTAAAATTTCTGGCAATTCTCCACCACAACAACTATCTGTATGATTCAGATTGTAATTCAGAAAACAGCAGGTTGGGCTGTACATATATATCAGAGAGCATAGCTCATTTTATTTTTGTGCAATTAAATCAAATTTGCTTTAAATTACATGTAGATAAAGCACACAACTCTGGAGACCATCTACAATGAGCAAAATGGAAAACTTGGTTTGCCAATTGGCCACAACTTAGAAAGATGAATGCCCCCTTAAGTGCAGTAACTTTAAAAAAAATAAAAATAAAAGATGCAGTGACACATGCACTATTCACAATGCAGCTTTAACTGTCAAAACGTTTTTTAATCAAGCTAGATATTTATCTGTCAGCAGAGCAGACAGCAGTGATGATAAATCCCAAAAACTTAGAGCATGGCTTAAATAAAGTGAATCTCTTGCACAGCAACAATAGTGAATGTGCACTGTCTGTAAGAGTGACTGCTGATGTGTATGTGCCTATAATCAAATTACAGACCCCAAACATATTTAACACAGAGAAAATATATATATTATGTCATTATAAAGGGCGTCTAAATTTGGGCTGTTGCTCCTCCACATTTCAATAGGGTGCACCAGAGCTCCTATTAAGAAAAAGGCCCAATGAATGTGTGTAACAGATTAGACTTTAATTATCAAACCTTTATCCCAAAATATCCACTATTCAAAGAAGAAAATCAATAACCTGAACCGAGCACCACCAAGATTGTACTGTGCAAAACAAACCTGTAACTGACAGGCCCTTAGGCTACTTTCCTCTGGTTACATTAGAGACTCATGTTTGCTAGCCATAGCCATAAACTTCAAAATTACCTAATTTGTCTTTGTGTAATCAAATCAGATACAGCATTACCAATATCATGCTCAATTTTAGGGGAATGGCATCAGCCACCAACAAATACCATCTGAGTAACTGAATTAGACATAGTCTAAACAAACCAATTTTTCTAAATTAGTCTTGTTACAAAGTCTCCTCAATGGCTTTGTAAAGAGGTGGCACACAACACAGCTCTCACTATTGCAAAAGATTTATGAAAGCATGAAAGTAACATTTATCTTTCCTGATAAAAATCTATCCAATTTATCTTTGTGTTTGCACTGTACGCCCTTTTCAAGAGACATTTCCACCTCACATTTCATGCATCTTTTTTTTTAAACTAGATCTGAGGAGCAATTATCCATTTAGAATATATTACTTTCAAAACTGACTTCAGTAAGCACATAGAAGTAAAATTGCCCTCTCCTGGTGTTTTCCTGTACAAAATGCAAATAATTCTTTCTGAACATTTAAATGACAGCAAACATCTGGTTTCATTTGTGCCTCAGCCCTGAGTCTCATCTTTATTCAAATGCTGGTATAGATGTTTTCATCTCCCCAGCCCTGTGGCCTGCACCAAACAGCTTCACTAAGTTTTCTGAGTAACTTTGCAGAGTAAATACCACAACAGATCTTATTCCATCAGTTAATTTTCCAGATTAGTGAAGAGTTTTACTGAGGCAATTCATTAAAACTGCTTCCTTGAGTAAATTACAATAGATAGGGATATACATTACTAAAATGTTTGGCCATTCCTCATGTACATGTATGTAAGCTGTATTTCTATTGGCATGATAGCAACATAATTCACCAGAAAACTAATTTGCAACCATTTAAAAATAACTACATCATCAATTTAGCACAAAACCTAAATATTCAGATACCAGCTTCTCAAATATGAGGTGATGTGTAACTTGTAGTGTGTGGTTCCATGTCCCTAATTCAGATTTACGAGGGTAAAGTAAAGTAGACCAAAACAGAATTGACATTGTCAGATTAATTTCTCTCACTGAAAAAACACTCACGTTTGGGGGGGTTTTTAACTATCTGTATTCTCTCCTGGGGCATTTTTTATGGTAGAATAGACACATCCACATCATAACATACCTCTGTGTAAGGGAATAAAGGTGAGAGTAGGCATTGCATATACAACAAGCACACACACAAGAGAGCTCCAGAAGACACGGACTCCAGGCACAAGAAAATCTAGTATTAAGTATTAAGTTAAAAACAGACAGTCAGTTGTTATTCTACACAAATAAATCCTTAATTGTTAACTGATGCAGTTATCACTCACTTCTTACACATAATCTTTGTGACATTTTCAGTTGTTAACTTTCACCAAAAAAGTTTCAAATACTGAGCAAGCAATTAAAACAAAAGAGAAAAACAAATAAAGAATGCACTAGTTTTCTGTGAGAGCTGAAGTGCCTTTAAAGGGCATGAGTGCTGTGTCGGCCTTATTATTTCAGGAAAGTGCTGGTACAGTTTACTCTTTCCTAAAACAGCAT